AATTCTGTGGCCACAGCTGTGTCACCAGCCACTGACCTCTAGTGCTCTCATTGGAAGTGTGTCAGGGCTGGACTTGATGATCTCTAAGTCCCATCCACAGTGAATATTCTAAGAATTACAGAGCCTTGCAACCTGTGTCCTATTCAAAGTCCCAACACGTTTGGCTTCATTTCCTCATGGATCCTGACCACAACTCTTCTACCAGCTGACACAAAGTCTTTCCTGGTCCCCTCCTCATGGATCCTCTTTCCTTCCATCTTCTCTAGGAATCTTTCTAAGAATAACCTTTATTATTCTCTAGTCCACTGTCATATTCTCAGTGGACATTTGTAATGATTGTGGTGGATATATGTAGTCTGTTATTTATTTATTTTTATTTTTAAATTAAATATGTTTTTATTAATTTTAGAGAGAAGGAGAGAAAGAGAGAGAGAGAAACACTGATGTGAGAGAAACCCAAGTTTATAGCATGAACTGTAACCATAAATCCTTAGAATTTATAAATCCTTAGAATATATGAAGAAAGGTACTGATTGAGTGGCATATTCATAGTGATTTCTTAGTCCTAGGAATGTTAGGAATGGCCCATTCAGATGGAGTGTATGTGTGTGTGTGTGTGTGTGTGTGCGCGCACATGTGTGTGTGTGCTCGCGCTCGCACATCTCAGCATGCACCCATGTGTGTAGGCCTGGTAGTGTAAACAGGGCACTCTGGTTGACCTTCTTCAGGCCTTTCTTGCACCTGCTCCTGAGGAATGTGTTGGCATGGTGTTGGGAAAATCAGATCAGCATGTTGTGCAGCCTCCCAAAGTGGTTCTGGAGTAAGGAGATGAACTTTCAGAGCCATAGGCCCTACTTCTCCACATCATGGCCTTCTGGGTCAGATGTCAGAGACAGGGTCCCTTAGACCAGTGCTTGTAGATGGGGGCAGAAGAATCTCTTAGGGAATTTTTAAAATATATATCTTTTTATTGATTTCAGAGAGGAAGGGAGAGGGAGAGATAGAAACATCAATGATGAGAGAGAATCACTGATTGGCTGCCTCCTGCACGCCCCCTACTGGGGATCGAGCCTGCAATCCAGGTATGTGCCCTTGACAGGAACTGAACCAGGGACCCTTCAGTCCACAGGCCGACATTCTATACACTGAGCCAAACCAGCTAGATCTTAGGGAATGTTTTTAAATGTAGATGTCATGGTCAGACTCCATCCAGATTTACCAAATAAACTCAGGAATACAGTCCAGGAATCTATCTATCTATCTATCTATCTATCTATCTATCTATCTATCTATCTAAGAGACAAGTGACCGGAACAATGGAACTACCGGAATGACTAGAATGACTGGTTACTATGATGCGATTGCCCCCCTCCCCCCAACCTCCTGAGGCCCCTCCCCCCGGCCTGCCCAACCCCCATTGGCTCCCCCAACCCCGATTGGGGGCAGGGCCAGCCAGCCAACTGCCCGAGGCCCCTCTCCCCTGCTGGCCCGGCCCCACCCCACCTGTGCATGAATTCATGCACTGGGCCTCTAGTATTTTAAAAAATACCCAGTTGTTTTGTGAGCAGGTTTAGTTTGGTGACTGCTGCCTCGCTTGGCCTGGTCTCCAAAGGGGTGGTAACATCACTTAGTGTTCACAAGTTCTTTTGACTTTACCTCCTAAAGATTTCTTGCGTCTTTCTCCTCTGTATGTCCACTGCCCACTGGTCAAGTCCAAGCTACCAGAATCTCTGGCCTGGACCACTGCAGTAGCCTCAAAGTTCCCAATCTGTACTCCACAAAGCAGCCAGAGTGGTCATGTCAAGTTTCAGATTGGATTGTCACACTCCCCACCCCACCCTGACACGCAGTCCAGTTATTTTTTCCCCATTGCTTTTAGGATGAACACAACATTCTTTTCATGGCCAGAGGGCCTGCATGAGTAGGTTCCCACCCACCTCCCCAGCTTCATCTCACGGCCATCATCCCTGCTAATAGACTTGCACTCAAAGTTCTCTCCAGATACCCCTTCCCCTCCCTTTGTACTTCAGGCTCCGCTGTTATTACTTTTGAGGGAGATTTTCCCACCTTTCAGGGACAGCCCTTTTCAGTTGCAATTTTGTTTTGATTTACATAGTAATTTGATTAAGTGTGCATCTTCATGTAGATTGTAATTTGCCAGGAAGGCAGGGACCCCTTTTCTTCACTATTGTAGCCTTAGTGGTTAGTATGCAGTAAGCTCTAAATACAGGGTCGCACCCTGGCCAGTGTGGCTCAGTTTGTTGAGCATCCTCCTGTGCACCAAAAGGTTGCCAGTTGGATTCCCAGTCAGGGCACATGCCCAGGTCTGGTTCAGTCTCTGGTCAGGGTGTGTGGGAGGCAACTGATCAATGTTTTTTTACAATTGATGTTTCTCTCTCTCTCTCTCCTTTTCTCTCTTCTCTCAAAAACCAATAAAAACATATTAAAATAAATAAGGAAATACAGGGTCAGGCAAAAGTAATTTAAAGTTGTTTGTATGGAAAATAATACAGCCTGGCCAGAGTGGCTTAGTTGGTTGGAGTGTCCTCCCCGACACTGAAAGGTTTCTGGTTCTAATCTGGTAAGGGTACATGCCTGGGTTTTGGGTTGGATCCCTGTTGGGGTTGGGGCAAATATGAAAGGCAACTAATCACTGTCTCTCCCTCCCCCTCCTTTCCTCTCTCTAAGCATATTCTAGAGTGAGAATTTTAAAAATATAATAAATTAAAAATAATAATTAATAAGAATAAACTGTTTTGTGTACTCACAACTGTAAACCTACTTTTGCCCCACCCTGTATCTGCCCTCTTCTTCATATGGCTACGTTGGCAATCAGCAATTTTCAGTCACTGAGAAGACACGGGGTCTTGGGATGGATCAGAGCTTTATAATTATACCCAGAGTTCCATTCACACATTTGTTCATTCATCACGATATATGAGGCATTATGTGCCACTGGGAGCTGTGGATTTCTGGGTCTAGCTGGAGTCAGCCAGCACACAGCGGGAACTGTTGGTAACGATTTGAATACCTGGCATATCTCACTTATCTCGGCTCAGTGAAAACAAACATTTATTAAACACAAACTAGGTGCCAGATGTGCCTTGTTCTTAAGTAGCTTATGATCTATGGAGGAAAGACTTACTGGTACATGAAATAAGTGGCTACACATTTAGAAGTTTTACAAAAGGGGCTGTGGTGTGTGCCATGGAGACACAGAAGAGAGGGTCCAAGTCCAGCCTGGGGGGTCAGAGACAGGCTTCCCTGCGTAAGGACTATTTGAGGGATGACTAAAAGTTAGGAAAACAGGCTATAGGGCAGTCCAGGTGTAGGTCAATGTGGAATGAACTTCAGAAGATGGCTATTTACTGAGCAGCAGGGAGTACCCAGTTCTGCCCAATTCTCCTCCTGAGTTGGGGTTTGGCCCCTCCACACTCCCCAAACATCCTCTGAAGGGGTTGGCTGAGATGGCCCCTGCCAATCTGTGTTTAGAGGGCAAATGCTGGGCTAAATGGAGAGGGAAAGGTGTGTAAGTGGGAAGCCCTCAGGCTTCTCTGACTCAGGCATCACATGGGCTGCTGTGAATTCAGCACCACTCCCAGCACTCCTGTCGACCAATACTAAACATCATCACCACCAGCAGTTTTTACTCATTTCTTTATTAATGTAGAAAAAGAGCCCAAGGCAGCTGGACCAGTAGTACAAAGCACGGTGAGTTAATACTATTTTGGTGAAAGGGTTGGCTTTACAAAAGAGAAGGCGCAGGCAGGAGCTGTCCTGGTTCTGGGGCCAGGTCCAGCCTGCTGCCCGGAACCTCACAGGAGCACCTGGAACCAGTCCCTTGGAGAGGATGACAGGTGGGTTGAGCGGGGTGAACTGGAGACCATGGAGGACAGATGGCAGGGGTAGAGGGCCAGGCAGTGAGAACCATCCTGTGGCTGATGAGGACAGGAAACTGCTGGCATGAGACTCCCCACTGGACCATGGGTAGGGGCTCCAGGTGGCCTCAGCTCTGGGAATAGGAAGAAAAATCTTGCCGGGGGCAAGGGAATCCAGAGCTGGCCCTGGGTTGAAGAGCCTTTCCCTCCTCTCTCCACCAGGGGCCACCTTTGCTCTGTACTACAGGTGGGGCTTCAGGGCCCAAGGCACAGAGGGAGGCCCAGAGGCCTCCCTGTTGGGAGGAAGAGTGGGCAGGGAAGGAAGCACTTGAGTGTTCCTGGCTTAGGCAGCCTGGGCTGAGACACAGGGCGGGACAACAGCACCCCTGTGCAATGGGGCTGGAATGTGGGCAGGGATGGGCTTACCCTTGGCCAGTTACCCCATGGCAATGGTGCCTGCCTCGAACCTTTGCAAATGGAGTCTGCACCATCATCGGGTGTCAGCAGACTGGGTTCTAGCCTGAGCTTTTCTGGAACAGAGCTATATCACCATGGGCCAGCCATGTCCCGCCCTGGCCTGCTCCTCATCCGCTAATGAGGGCTTTGGCTATGACCTCTCAGGTCATGGGAGAGACTCTGAAGAACAAGGGACTCTCCAGAACCTGCTCTTGGTAGCTAGGTGGGAACTGGTCCCAACCACACCTTGGACACTGGCATGGGAGGGGGAAGGAGGTGGAGGAGGAGGATGTTCTTTCGTGGAACCTACCCCCAGGAACGTTCCAGAGCTAGGAAAGACTGTGGGGGCCTCTGCTTTGTCCAGGGGTAGAGAGGCTGCCCTCCCTTTGGCAGGGAGGGGACGTGGTTCAGTACAGACCCTTCACAACCCCTATCTGGGTAACACTTGGCATGAAGAGAATGGGGTGGCACTAAGTGACCCTTTATGTTCTTCCCCGGGGGTGGGAAGCTCCAGGCCTTGTTGTAGCTTCTGCCTCCAGCCCTCAGCCCGGGGTCAGGAGTACTTTTCACTGTGTTCTCGCCTTGGGAACAGCCCAAGACTCTGACTGGCTGGCACATGTTAGTTGGTAAGGAAAGGACAGAGGGTGAGTAAGCAGCCAGGGAGGTAAGAGCGACTCTCTGGCTTTCTCCACTTCCTCTAGTGAGAGCAGCTCAATCAACCGAGTCACAGATCTCTTCCACCACCGCATTGAAGATGTGTGGCTGGTCTGCATAGACGTGGTGCGAAGCACCCTCGATTTCCTGTGAAGAAAGGAACCGCCAGGGTGGGACAGCCCTTTATTCCAGGCACTGGAAAGTTGTCAAACCGTTTCTTTTCCTTTAGCCCTCCTTGCCTATCACCCATGAGCACTTGTCAGAAACCATGGTCCACTTTTCTCCCTGGATCCTGGCATTTTCCTGTAGGAGCCAATGACTCTCAATATCCCATTTTCCTTCTCCCATGACCATGCACTGTATCTTGCCTTCCATGCTAGCCCCACCACCGATCTGCTCATTTGACCCACAGGCCCAGTAAACCAGGGCCCAATAGGCAGCCAGCCTAATTAAGCACACTCATTAGCAAATGAGGGTTGAGGGGGGAAGAAAAAAGGGAAGGCAGGAGTGTGGTAGGAAGGCTTCATGTCAGCCTCTACTATTCACTCTACTGTTCACAGCTCTGGTTTTGAGTGGGAATTACAGGAGGGGTAGCATGATGTCTGTGCCTGGCTACTGGACAAGAACAGAAGTGAGAGGCCTCCTAATTATGAAATGACAAAAAGCCAAACCTTTCAAGTCCACTGTCTCATCTCAATCGGTTCATCCCTCTTTTCCCTGCTGACTCTTCCATCACCCTCTCTACCCCGAGTTGCTCATCCTTGCTGAGAGTCAACCAACACGTGCTGGCATTCAATGCACAGCTTTTCCACCCCAATTCTGCTCCTTGGTGGCCAACGTACCATGTCTCGGACATAGGAATCCGGCCGCTGCAGCTTCACCTTTTTCCCTGTGCTGGTGTCTATCCAGGTGTTGGACCCATAGATCATGGTGATGGGCACATCTTTTCGAATCAAGTGAATTCGTTCTATCATGGGGCGCCGGGCCCAGCCGAAGGACTCCATCATGGCTTTGAAGGCCGTCTCACCACTAAGAAGCAAAACAGGGTGAGGCAATTAGAATAAACCCCACAGCATAAAATGTCAAACTGTTGGTCTCTTCAGAGGCTGGGGCAGTATCTTCATCATCTTGCTATTCCTCTCAGACCCTGGGTTTGAGACTCACTAAATATTGGTAAGATTAGGAGAAAGGACTGAATCTCCAGAGGCCTCTTAACACAAAACAGAGTTAGAGGGATACACTTGTGAAAATCCCTAGGACACTCAGTATTGTCCAAGAATGCAATGGGTTAATATTTATTCAAAAAATATTCATGTGTCATGCCCTAATCTGAGTGGGGGGACATATGAACAGGACACATTTCAGCTCACACTTTAGGCATTAAGTAATGAACTATATGATTCATTAACTACACATTTCCCAAGAATTATGAAAGGGTAGTGGAGTGCTATGAGAACACAGACTAAGGACTTAGCTGGCTGGGGGTGGAAGGAGAAGGTCAGGAGTTCATTGGGGGTGGAGTCTCAAGAGCGAGTACTATGGTAGTACAAAGGGTTTCCTGAGGAGACTGTGAATAAAACAGTCATGTGAAGACCTGGGGGAGCAGCAGTTTGTGTTGTGGGAGAAGTGAGGACTGCCAATCAGATCTACTTTGCTTTTTCCTGGTCATTTCCTTAGGTAGAGCTAATTGAGGCCGTATCATGGTCTGCAAGGGGTCTGCATGCATTATGCAGAACTAGTTCTGAGGCTGGGGAACATTCTGAGGAAAGGGCTAGGACTGTGTGTGAGGGGCCTCAAGTGGGTATGAGACTGGCGCTGAGCCCAGTGGGGGCTGAAAGACGGGTAGAGAGCAGAAAGCAGGGGGCTACCTGATTTGACTGTTGAGCTGAGTTTCTATACTGCTGCCTAAGCAGCGCCCTTCAATTAGCGGTGCTCATGAGGAATGTTGAATGAACAGTTCCCACGCTGCCTGAAAGCTGTCTGGGTTTGAGGCTAATGCTCAGACAGTACTGATGGAATGCAAATCCCCTCCTTCTTCACAGCTTTGGCTCACAACAGCGACCTGGACAGGCCTGGAATGAGGCGGGGCAGTGCTGCAGCTCCCAGTGAACTTGGCTCCTCTGAGATGCCTCCCAGCAGCTCAGGGTGAGGCCACCACAGAGGCGGTGCCTCCTGGTATCAGCCACTCACACAGCACGGCCTGAAGGGAAGATTACCTCCCGGACTCTGCCCTGGCTGTCAGCTACAAGCCTATGGGGGCTGCTGTGTGAGCAGTCACAGACCTGAGCCTCTCAAGATTCTGGGGACACCTGGAAATCTCCAAAAGATTTGGAAAGAATTCCTGTCCCAACAATACTTCAAGGCGCACATGATTAAATTTTAAAATAGGTACTTTCTCAATCAGCGATTCTATTTGTAGGAACGTACTCTATAGACCAGTGGTTCTCAACCTTCCTAATGCTGCAACCCTTTAATATAGTTCCTCATGTTGTGGTGACCCCCAATTTCATTGTTACAAATTGAACATAATTAAAGCATAGTGATTAATCACAAAAACAATATGTGTTTTCCGATGGTCTTAGGCAACCCCTGTGAAAGGGTTGTTCGACCCCAAAGGGGTCGAGACCCACAGGTTGAGAACCGCTGCTATAGACAGTCATGTGTATGCAGAGGGAGGTTCTCTGAAGTTGTCACGTGATATGTCAGACTGGCAGTAACAAGGAAAGTTGGAAATTACAAGTCTGGGACAGGCAAACACTTCTTTCTTTTTTTTTGCTTTTATAAAAATACCGTATTCATATCATCTTTTAGTAAAAACAAAACAAAACAGTCTTTTCAAATGTTTTCCAGACTCTTGCCTGTCAGGATAACCACCTATCTCTACAGAAGAGTAAGGGTCACCTGTAGAGACAGTGGCAATTTTAATTAATGTTATCTTCTCCATCTCTTTGTGCCTACCTCTGGAAACGATCAAGCCTGCTAACTAACACTTCTGTTCTCCTAACTCAGCGACTTTCAACCGATGTGCTGCAAGAATTTTTAAAACATGCAATACCTGACTGTTTAGTCAGGGACACTGACCTCTTTTCCCTTAGATTGTCAAATTTTAAAAAAATGACAACAGCCAACACAACAGTAGTCACCCAGTATGCATGAATCAAAATTATACCTTTTTTTTTTTTTTCAGATCGGCAAAAAACATACTTTTTGTTGTGCTGCAGAATTTTAGTAATTAGTTTATGTGTGCCATGAGATGGAGGTTGAAAAATCGCTGCCCAAACTGAATGAAAACTTTGTGGAAGAAGAAACACAGCACAGAACGATCCTGTTACATACAGGTCTGCAGTTTTCGTGTTATCTTGTCCACCTGGCGCTGGCTCTGGGCGCTGCTCTCACCTGGGGTTTTGTGCGTTGCAGTGGTAGATATACTCTGATATAGTATCATCTTCAAAGAAGTCTGCAAACTTGCGCTTGAAGTCTGGTCGGAATCGCTGCACCAAGCCAGGCCCTGGGAGGGGACAGGAGAGCATGGAGGGGCCAGTTTGGGTGGTGGGGGAAAGATTCCTGCCTGTGCATGCTTGAACAACATTATTTCTCCTATTCCTGGGACCCTTACAGCCTTTTAATTTTAAGGTAGTGAGTGAAACTAGACCATCTCCCAAGAGGCCGGTCATATTCAGGCCTGTAACATAATATGAGTGGAGAGGCAAACTTAACCCTGGCATCTCAGACTCGGGGCAGTTTTAGAGCAATCTGTTCTCTCCACCTTCTTTATATAGTTCATAAACAAGCAGTAGGGCACCCAAAACAGACTGTCAAAATTGGGGCCTACTGGTCAACACCGGGCCTTTCCCTTCTGGTCTTCTCTCTGCATGTAAGAAGCAAGGGGTCAGAGGGCGGCACAGCCAGGATCCCCTGGGCCCTGGCCTCCTCCACGGCTGTCAGCCAACTGCCACAACCACACTAGCTCTGATGCCCATGCACGAACCCAGCCAGATGCAGGTCCAAAAACGGGGGGCGTGGTAAGAGCTGAGCTTCTCCTAAACTCCTACCTTCTCCTCAAATGCTCATATTTCCCTTTTATCCAGAGCCATTCTGTTTCTCATGAAGGGCCTAGAGAGATAACTCTTATTTAGCCATTTGCAATGAACTCACAATAATTGGCAATTGAATGTTACCATGTATACATCAGCCATTAGTGTAAGACAGAGGGTCACCAACCCTTCCCATAAAGGGCATGTGCTGTTCACTCCATCAGAGTAAAAAGCTCCCCAGAAAGTTAGGGTGCTGGCAGTGTGAGGGTCAGAAGCCTGGGGCCTATTGATTTCACTTCCTCTGGCCGGCTCCCTCGGAACGCCTTCCCTCCCTTCAGCCACAGAATTTGCTGACAGCTACTAAATGGTGAAGATGTGGTGTCTGTCTGGAGCAGGGCATGGTTTCGAGGGGCTTGCCTGACACTGTGGGTTGTGTTGGAAGCTCTGGTTCTGACATCTCCCTGCTGCAGGTGCTGGGTGAGCTGCAGAGGTGGGAGCCAGTGGTGGTTACCATGCTGAATCGCCACAGGTTGCCATAAACTCACACATGTAGCATAAGAATTCAGCAGAGGAAGAGTCACCTCATGGTCCCTTTCTTTCTCTCTCTCTCTCTGGGGGTCTAACCAAGGCACAGAGTAGTAGTTCTGCTCCATCTGTCCCTTGCATAGGAAAACTTTTTCCATGCAAATGAAAGAAAAAAAAGAACCTTCTGAAACTACAGACAAAGAAACCTGGTCCAGATTAATAGCTTAAAATAACAATGCTAGGTCCATTCCCACTTTTCAAGAACAAGCGAGGATGATGGGAGTCCAGAAGCAGTGGGGCTTCTAGCATGGGATAGCCTTGGTTTGAGGAGATAGTTTCTGTATCTGTAGGCTACTCACCCCAGGGCCCAGCTATTCGAAGAACAGCCAGTGGGTTGGAACGCCCTAGGACAGAGGCCACAGCCTTGACCCAGGTTGGGGGTGCACGGATCTCACTGGGGTCAGTCGGTCGGAGGGGAAAGCCCCATGGGTCCACCAGGATGAGGTGTTTAACTCTACAGGAGGACAAAGGAAAAGCTGTATTTGCTTGGAGATACCATAGCCCTTAAATCACCCAGGAAAAAGAGAACCATAGTGGGGCCTTGACTTACGAGTTTAATTCGTTCCGTGACAGAGCTCATAACTCAAATTACTCGTATGTCAAATCACTGTGATGTTTGCTGTGCCAACTAGCGGTGGGGTATCTGAAGCTGGCTCGTAACCCAAATTTTTTTGAGCTTGTAACTCAAAGCAAAAAATTGGCCGAGAGACGGCTCATATCTCAAAAAAACTCGTTAGTCGGGACACTCGTAAGTCAAGGCCCCACTGTATTGGAAACTAATACCGGAAGCTTCCCAGTGAGGCAAGGAGTTGGATAATGACCCAGGGGTGGGTCCTTCTTACCTTTCAGGGTACTTGATAGAGTAAGAAGTGGCCAGGAATCCTCCCAAACTGTGCCCTAGGAGGATCATGCTGGGGATCCCCATGGTCTCCCGCCACGTCTCTATTGACATCACAAACTCATTCTCGGCCCCTTCTGGGTCCCTCGGGAATGTTGGCCTGGAGCTTCTCCCGAAGCCAAGCAGATCAAACGTGTGCAGTGTGCGGCGGGCACTCAGTGAATCCATGTTGAGGATCCAGAGGCCCACGCCACCCCCAAAGCCATGCACCATCACCAAAGGGGTGCGGTCCCTGAGCTCGGGGCTCACGGTCACCGTCCAGATCTTGTTCTGGTTTGGGAGAGACACATACCGGGCCAGGAACTTGTTCTGGAGACCTGGGGAGAGGAGATTCAGAGCGAGCAATACGTCTGCTTTCTGACAGCATCATCATGGTGCCTGGATGATCAGTCTTCAGCTCTGTCCCTCCGTTCCTAAACCTCCCTCACCTCTTTCCTTTTTATATCCCTCTCACCATCCACCCCAAGAGTTAAACTCTGAGTACAATTTGTAGACCATCTACTCTATAGGTAATAAGAGTGGCCATCTTATTCCTTGAGGCTGTTTGCCTGGCTCCCTTTGGGCACAGGGTGGCAGTGACTCCACCAACCTACAGAGCTCCTGCACCCATTGGTCTTGTACCTGTGTGCTTGGGGCTTGACAGATGGACAGAAGTGTCCTCACTGAGGGTATCTGGGAGAAGGGCTTTTAACTGGAGTTGAGACAGGCGGAGGGTGTGACAGGTGTGAACTGAGCCACCAGCTTATTCCTCTTAGAGACAGACCCAGGTGGGCAGTGCTTGCTCTGCTGGTGTGAAGGCAATTACATGACAGAGCTGCCCGGGGAAATGACTTGGATCCTGGACCAAAGCTTGAAAGCTGTGGCTATTCTTCAGTTGTACTTACTCAGGCTCATAAGAGGCGAGCCCTGGCTGGGGAAGTAGAACAGGGCAGGTAGGATAAGAGGAAAACAGGGAGATGTGGCCCAAGGGCCTTGTTTGAGCCAGTGGCTGCTGATGCTCATGGGATGCCCTGCCCCAATATAACACTGCCCAGGAGCTGGTCTCTGGGAATCTCTAACTCCTGTCTCAAACCAGAGAAGTGGTGGGGAAATACAGTGGGGCCTTGACTTACGAGTGTCCCGACTAACGAGTTTTTCGAGATGCGAGCCGTCTCTCGGCCAATTTTTTGCTTTGAGTTGCGAGCTAAAATTCAGGTTACGAGCCAGCTTGATACCCCACCGCTAGTTGGCGCAGCGAACGTCACAGTGAACGCCACAACATCAGCCCAGCATCACGTGTCATTGTAATGGTGAAAATTGATTTGACATACGAGTAATTTGAGTTACGAGCTCTGTCACGGAACGAATTAAACTCGTAAGTCAAGGCCCCACTGTAGTAATATTAGAGAATATAGGACTTCTTTACTGGTCCTTGGGTAGCAAGGTGGTAAATCTAAGAAGTGCTTGTGTGTTTGGAAGAACAGACAGGGAGAAAGAAAGAAGAGAGGAGTAGGAGAAGGAAGAAAAGGAGAGAATATGTGTATTTGTGTGTGTTGTGTGCTAATAGTTGGTACAGGGTTGGAGGTGAAGTTGTGGGATGGGGCAGGAACTACCTGATGGACAGGGAGGGCGACACTGAGGAACCATTATCATAGAATTCAGTGTCCTCTGTCTAAATCTCTTCCCTTAGATCCCTGACAACCTTTCCTCCCACCCCCAAACATTTCTTATCAGGAGTCAGTGGGCTCAGTGTACCAGGCTCTGGGAAGATCCCGTATCCTCCTTAGGCCTCCTGAGGGAGATGGCACAAGCTGTCCCCTCTACTTACACTGGAGGATCTTGGCTTCCACATTCTTCAATTGAGACATCGAAGTGGGGCGCCACGCCGGCAGCCAGCTACTCAGCCAGCCTTGAGGCCTGGGACAAAGAGACACAGAGATGCTCATTGGCAACATTGGAAAGGAAACATTGATGCCCTGAGCCTTGCTGACAGATACAAAAGAGTTATCAGGGTACAGGGTGTTTTCCAGGCTCAGGAGACCTCCCACTATGGCAGTCAGCAATTCCCTCACGGCCTGATAGACTGTTACTCTTCTCTGGTAAATGGCTATTAACAACATGCTCTTTGTTTCAAAGATGCTCAGAATATCATGTGCACAGCACTTTACAGTTTACAAAGCACTTTCACATTTATCTCATTTGAGCTTTACAAACCCTTTTGCCGCTGGTTTTCGTGTTTCAAGAGATTTTAAGGGGGACAAACCCACTTTTAACTAATGCTTTCAGTTATCTTTTGCTATCCCCAGGACTGAATGTTCCTTTAGAATAGGACAAGTTCCCATGCCACCTGCCCTCCTGGCAGGGCACTGCAGTTTGTGTGTGCCCTCTTTCAAGCCCCTGGAAGTACAGAGCACTGTCAGTGCCCAGCTGGGCTCTCAGGAAACCTTTAAGCAATGAGATGGGATAGGCAGGGAGCATGAGATGGGAGACCTGGGTTCAAGTCCTGCGGTGAATCACCGGCTGGACACAGGTTGCCTCTGGCCTTGTTCTCCAGATTATAAAATGAGTAAAAAACTCACATAGTTCTTATCTCCCATAGCAGGCAATAAAACAGATAAGATACGCTATTCTGCCTTCTCCTTCATATCCACAGGACTTTAAGTCATTGCAGAGTAGAAGTTGAAAGCACCAGTTTTGGAATGAAAAAAACACACCTTGGATCTGAGTCACGGTATTATCATTTTCGAGCAGAATGACTTTGGCCTGATGAACAGCCTGTCTTTGAGCATTTAGATATGTAAGGGAACTTCTAAGGTGCCTGGTACAAATTAGATGCTCAATGAATGAGTTTTTATTATTTCTTTTCCATCGCATATGACATTTCTCTTTTCTGGGTGAAGAGGATTATGGGATGGACACACCAGCTGTAGGAAAGGCCTGTGAACATGGGTATAGTCACACAGAGCATTCTGTGGGAGAACGAGAGGAACCACTGCCAACAACCCCTCTTCTTCCCCCCAGCACACACTGGGCATCCTGGTACATCCGTTGAAGCACAGAGCTTTAGATAAGGATGGCCCTTAGAAATCACCTAGCCCAGTCTCTTTATTTTACAGATGACCAAACCGATGCCCAAAGAGGTCAGACAGCTAGTGAGAAAAAGAAGCAGAACTAGAAAACCCAGATTTGAAATCCAGGTTTCTCTGTACTTCTTCTCTGGAAGTTCCAGCCTTGGCGTTTCAAGGGCACACACAAATACTTACGGTATAGGACATAATTTTCACACTGGTCTCTGTTTTCTGAAAGGAGGTGTGATCTAAAGCCAGAAGGCCAGATTTCTAATCCTGGCACTGCCACTTACCAGCAATATGACTTCCACTTTCTGTGTCAAACTTTCACCTTTAAAAGGGCGGTAATAACAGTACCTACCTCACAGGGTTGTTATAAAGATTAAATGAGTTAATGCACCTAAAATACATAGAATAAAGTCTAGCACAAGATAAAATTCCCAATAAACGTTTCCCCCCAGCTAAATCATAAGCTGTTTTGTAAGTAGTGAGTCTCAATGATTGAGGTTTGAAAGAAATACTGAGGTTGCAGCCGAGCCAGATGAGAGTTGTCAGTTTCATCAATTAAATCCTATGGAGACTCATAGCCCTTTTAATTTTCCACTGGAATTCCTTGTCAGCTTGAAGCATCTGGATCCCACACTGCAGCACTCAGGAGAAATGTTGTTCCATGGAACAGCACTATGGGCTGCTCAGCAGATATTCAGGGGAGTTTTACTTTGCCTCTCTTCTTCACCAAAAATGTTACAGGTAAAGCACTGGAAATATTGTCTGGCACACTGAATCTGATTAATACATTGGGGAGGTGAGGGATGGGGATAGGGGAGTTCAGGCAAAGAGAAGAGAAGCCACTTAAGCCATGAACTTGGGCTGGCCAGGATGGTCTCTTCCCTCTAGAGCATTTTTATCCGAACAGAGGTAAGGCAGAAGAGGTTCTGTGCGGGGTCTGTGATCTTGGGCAAGTCTTCTAACTTCTATGGGCACTGACTTCTTTAAAAAAGAGCTGAACTACCTGCATCTCAACCGGCTCTAATATTGTTTCCCTAAGTCGCTGTAGCTACTGTACAGTTCTTGGAAAAGTTCTCTTAGAGAGCAACTCTCCTGGGCAGCTTCTTCAAGCACAGGAAGCTGCTATTGTCATAAAGTTAATTCCCTTTGCAAACTGCCAGTTGTGCTGGTCTGAAAAGGGGGACCGCGGGACCCACAAAAGGACCCGAGCTAGTGACACCGAGGCTTGGCTGGGAGCTGAGTCATTCTTCTGGAAGCAACTTTGCCTGGCTCCTAGAGACTGCAAATGGCTAACCACACCAGCTACAGGTGGCGCCCCAAACCCGATGCCCTTGAGGCAGTGGTAACAAGTCCCAAGAGCTCTGATTTTGAGACCACGGCAAAAAAGATAGTTATAATGATTAAAAACATTATCAACTAGGGTCACAAGCTGCAAAGTGTCTCGGCGGGTGAGAACTAAAGAAGGCTTGCAAGCCCATTCATTATTCCAAGCAGACCAATTCCAGCGCGGCGGCGGCCGTTCTCCTCTTCCCGTGCCCTCTCCGTGCCCTGCGAAATGAGGCTCTTTCCGCCCCCGACTTCCAAACCAGGGCCAGTCCAGGCAGGCGGACCTGGCTGCCACCCCCGCAACCGCATCCCGCCAGCATGCTTCGGTGGATCTCAGACATTCCCACGGAATCTAATCCCCGAGCACAGCGGGGAGAGGAGAACGAGGACCGATCGCGGAGACCAACGTGCAAAGTTCGAATCTCGGAGCTGCATGCAGGCTAACTCATTTCCCATCGCTCCCCCGGCTCTGCCGCCGCCTCTTCTGGGCAGAAGCAAAGCGAGCAAAGGCAGCCCCCAGCCCTCCCATGAGGCCGACCTGAGACAGGAAAGGCAGGAAGATGTCTAAAAGTGTTCCTCAGCCACAGACAGTCCCAGGATCATGGGCCAGAGAGAGACAGAGAAAGAGAAAGAGACGGGGTTAACTCACTGCTGCTCCAGATCATCAGCCATAGTAAACAAGCCCTGCCGGGTCGAGCCGAGCCAGCCCGTCCCTCTGCCTGACGCCAGCACCAGCTGACCTAGCAAAGGGTCGGATAACAAAGTGGGGCGGGGCCAGCGCGGGACGGGGAGGCGGGGCCCCGGTACCGGGACTCTGGCCTTGAACCTCGGCGGGTGGCGGGTGGCGGGGACCCGGCACAGGTGCAGGCGGAGCGGTCTCCCGGTCTCCTTAGGACCGTAATTCTGGGCACACATTTGGGAGACAGTGAGGGAGGCGAGTAGTACCGAAACCACCGAGTCCCTCAGGGGAGCTCACCAGCCCTCCATGCTCTCATGATCAGAAAGTGACAGGACTACCCTCGCAGGCGCTCACACTGTCTGGGTTTCCCTGTCCTCGGAAGTCCTCCCCTGGTGTCCTTTCTAATCTGAGGCTTATGTTTGTAGAGACCACACCACTGGTTAAATGTTCCTACCAAGGGCCTGTACCCTAAGTAGATTGCCAGGTTTCATAAAGAACAGCACGCCTAGTTAAAGCTGAATTTCAGGCAAACAACAAATACTTTTAATTTTTTTATTTTTTAATTGATTTCAGAGAGGAAGGGAAAGGGAGAAACATAGAAACATCAATGATGAGAGAGAATCATTGATCAGCTGCCTCCCGTACGCCCCAGACTGGGGATCGAGGCCGCAACCTGGGCATGTGCCCTTGACCGAAATCGAACCCAGGCGGGACCTTTCAGTCTGCAGGCCAAAGCTCTATCCACTGAGCCAAACTGGCCAGGGCCAACAAATACTTTTATAGAACAAGTATGTCCCGTGTAATATTTGGGACATAATGTTGTAATGTACCCCGCGAATCACAGAAGGACGCCTCAAGAAGTCGAATTAAAGAGTCACATTTATTGCAATCCGGGACTATGAGGGGGCATTTCGCTCTCCCAGATCTCATAGTGCCCTCCCCAGCCCCAACATCAGATTTATACAGGCAAAGATCACAAAGGTATTGATTACATCCCAGGGTTTGGAATGAGGAACATGGTTCGCAAAAAATCAGTTTACAGAAGCAGAATTAAGCATGTTAATTACAATTTTGGGTCTCCGGATCACTGAGTTGACAGGAACACATTATCTGGGACCACTGAGTTGACAGGGAAACATTATCTGGAAACCTCAGGTCTTGGGATAATTGTGCTGTCCTGGTTCCCAGGTACAGAGGAATTTGCTTTCTAAAACCAGTAAGATCACAATCAATGGGATATTCGCATTACAATCAATAAGGCATTCAATCGAATGGGATGATTTATACAATTCAGAAAATCAAAGTAACTTTTCTATTGCTAAACAAAGCAAATAAGTACAGAAGCCAAACAGCAGGGTAAAAGTTAAACTATAGTTTCTACCTGAGATGATTGCTACCATACTTCAATGACTTGGTATCCTGTATTTTATCTCTCAACCCTAAACCTAAGCGACATTATTTCAAGATGCAAATCCTTTGCTCTGGAGATTCCCCAACCTAGTTTCCAGGAAGATGTGGCTCAATCCCAGGTCTCTCACAGTTTGGAAGATCCCCAGCTCCCGCCTCCTCCCCTCAGGAGGGGGAGTTGAAGAACTAACTTACAAGGCTAGGCCTGCTTTAGGGGTGTGGGGGTTTGGAGGAGAGGGTGGTTGGCTTAGCTCAGTGGTCCTGAGTGTACTTCAGGTTTGCTCGGCAGAGGAGCCAAATCTTGAGGCTGACTCCAGACCTTACCTGAACTGATAAACCGGGCCTGATGTCCCTGGAGCTGTCTGATTTCAGGTTGTCCCCAGGTTAGGTTAAAACTAGACTTCGGGTGGTAGTGGGTGGGAGAATGCTAGTCCTGAGGGGTTTGTCAAGGTGTTTTCTTTAGCCCTCATGCAGGACTCGGGAGAATGAGATTTCTTCTTTCTTGTAACAGTGTCAAAATGATCTGAGTATCATGGTAAGGGCTTACTAGCATATATATATATATATAATCTCTTAGAGGCCCGATGCACGAAATTTGTGCAAGAGTAGGCCTCCCTTCCCCCAGCTGCCGGCATTGGCTTCCCTCTAGCACCCGGGACCTGGGCTTCCCTCACAGCCCTGGCTTTGTCCGGAAGGTGGTCTGGAAGGACCCCCAGAAGGATGTCCGGTCTAATTAGCATATTATGCTTTTATTATTATAGATTATTATAGCTATATCCTGCCTTTCCTCTAAACTTAATTTTAAAAAGTTATTATAAAAATAATAGCCTGCTCTAGTGGTAAATAAGATTTTTCTATCTCTGCCATCCTAGGCTTTTTATCAGCAACTTTGAATTCAGAGCTCAGCTCAAAATTCCCCTCTTCTGAGGCCTTTCCTGACCGCAGAGTCTAAAAGAGATGCCTCGTCTCTCTGTCACATTATTTTCTTCATAACACTTACCACTATCTGAAATTCTCATGTGTATTTGTCTACTCATTTATTATCAGTTTCCCTCCACTAGAGCCTAAGGTTCATGGGGGACCTTGTCTGTCTTGTTCTCTGCTCTGTTGCCAGCACCTAGGACAGGATGTGGCACAGAGTAGACAATCAGTACTTACTGGATAAATAAATGGATGAAAAGTCTAGCCAGGAGGCAGATATGTAAACAATTACCTATAAAACAATGTGCTAAGTGTCAAGGGCTTTGGGAGCTGTATTTTAAATTGTATGACATAGGAAATTCCAGGCTACATCACTTTAAGACAGGGCAACACAATCTCCCACTTTTCTGAAAACCTGTAGAATGGAGAACTTTTTGAGAAAGCATGACTGGCTGGAACTCTCCAGACCTCATCTCAGGAGGCAGCGCAGAAAAATCTCTGATGTGCCAACCAGCTTTACAGCAGAGGTTGCTTAGAAGTAGGAAACTTGAACATATGGAAAATGCCTTTTATAGTCAAATTTAATAGATCTCTTAAGATACTGAGATATCTTAGGACTGGGTTAGATCTGTTAGAGTTATAGCGTGAAGAAGACTCGCAGTGCCTGCTCTGGGCAGGCCTCTGGGGAGATGGGTAAGGTACTTTTTTTCCCCTTATCTTCCAGACCAGATTCACTATGCCAGTATGAAAGAATCTTCCTTCTACCTCCAACATGCGTGATTAAAGTGCTAATATGGTCTTTATGAATAAAATCTAACTTTGACAACCCTCTTTCCTGTGCCTGTAAGTTATATTAAACATTCCAGAAATAGGTGGAGTTGATAACCTAACAGCTTAGGCCTCACAGGGATGGATCATTCTTTGGTTTCAAATGGTGTCACTGCCTTTTGAACAAACTATGACCAAGGTGTAACCCTTGGATTAAACATAGGAACCGAATAGAATAGTTGTAAAGTTGCTCTGTCCAATATGCTAAACACTAGCTACTTGTGGCTACTTAAATTTAAATTAATAAAAATTAAGTTGAAGTATGGTAGCAATCATCTCAGGTAGAAACTATAGTTTAACTTTAACCCTGCTGTTTGGTTTCGGTACTTATTTGTTTGCTAAAATAATAGAAAAGTTATTTTGATTTTCTGAATTATATAAATTATCCCATTCGATTAAATACCCTATTGATTGTAATGTGAATATCCCATGGGTTGTGGTCATACTGGTCTTAGAAAGCACATTTTCCATTACCTGGGAAGGACAGCACAATTATCCCAAGGTCAGAGGGCTCCAGTTAACATGTCCCTGTTGACTCAGTGTTCTGGAGACCCAAAAACTGTGATTTAGATAACATGCTGCTTCTACTTCGGTAAACTGCTTTTTTGCAAACCAGCTTCCTCATTCCAGACCTGAGGGCTCTAGATCAGTGATAGCGAACCTTTGGAGCTCGGCGTGTCAGCATTTTGAAAAACCCTAACTTAACTCGGGTGCCATGTCACATATAGAAATTTTTTGATATTTGCAACCATAGTAAAACAAAGACTTACATTTTTGATATTTATTTTATATATTTAAACTAGAGGCCCGGTGCACAAAAATTTGTGCACTGGGGGGGGGGGGGAGAGGGTCCCTCAGCCCGGCCTGTGCCCTCTCGCAGTCTGGGACCCCTCGGGAGATAACAAGCTGCTGGCTTAGGCCTGCTCCCGGGTGGCAGAGGGCAGGCCCAATCCCTAGGTGCAGGGCCGATTTGGGGGTTGGGGCACCACCCCCTGTCACACTCAAGGCAGGGTCGATGGGAAGGTTGCGGCGCCACCCCCTGTCACGCACAGGGTAGGGCCGATTGGGGGGTTGGGGCACCGCCCCCTGTCACACTCAAGGCAGGGTCGATGGGGAGGTTGCGGCGCCACCCCCTGTCACGCACAGAGCAGGGTCGATCAGGGGGTTGGGGAGCTCCCCCCTGTCACTCACAGAGTAGGGCCAATAGGGGAGTTGGGGCACTGCCCCCTGTCACACACAGAGCAGGGCGGATCAGGGGGTTGGGGCGCCGCACCCTGTCACACTCAGGGCAGGGCCGATGGGGAGGTTATGGCTCTACCCCGTCACACACAGAGCCGCAGGGCGATCAGGGGGTTTGGGCGCTGCCCCTGTCACGCTGATCCCGGTGCCGGGAGGCCTCACGGCTCCACTGATCCCGGTGCTGGGAGGCATATTACCCTTTTACTATATAGGATAGAGGCCTGGTGCACGGGTGGGGGCCGGCTGGTTTGCCCTGAAGGGTGTCCTGGATCAGGGTGGGGGTCCCCACTGGGGTGCCTGGCCAGCCTGGATGAGGGGATGATGGCTGTTTGCAGCTGGTCACACACCCTTCAGGGTGGGGGTCCCCACTGGGGTGCCTGGCCAGTCTGGGTGAGGGGCTGAGGGCTGTTTTCAGGCGGGCGGGTGACTGA